GAACATAAGAGCCCATGATCTAAAAACGATCCATGCGGTTTCGTCCCGCATTGGAAGTTTAGGTTCGTGCGGGTGATTTTTCAACCCGGACAGAGGTTTAGGTCTGTCCGGGTCAACCCGCACTGGTGTGAAAGCTCCCATATGATTCAATGGCCTAAACAGCTACATCCGGGACGGTCCCGCACCGCGCTGGTGTGAAAGAAGGCTTATGTTTAAAGTCAAGACAGACACTGGACTCACTTGGACTCGTCACTCAGACCAAATACTTCCCTTACACTAAGGAAGGAGAGTTGATGTATAGTTTTAAACATGTGTTCATTAATTGATTGCCTATGTTTACCAATTTTGTATAGGTCGGGCAATAATTTCTAAATCCTAAACTAAGTGAGAATCATTTACTTTTGGTCTCTCCGGACTAGTGAAAATAAACTCAATAAACGTAACGCGAATTCACTCTCTTTTTATATTTAGTTAATTTCTCTAAAAAATGTATATAATTTAATCAATACATTTGTAAAAACCACAAGAACCAAACATTAAAAGATCTCAAAACGTGGTTTTATTCTACTAGAAGCCCATTTCCCAATGAACTAAATGGTTGTAAGTTTTTAAATTTTTGGAGTTGAGAAATTGCAATTGTTTTGTATATTACTGTAAAGATAATTAAAATATTAATAGTGTGAATAATTATAGACTATTTAGATGACTCAGATTATTTTACAAACTCTTTAATAATCTCACCCACACCATTGATACACCAATGTGTCACAACCTCTGTTCTCATAATAGCACTATTTAGTCAACAGCCCGCGCTGCGTGTAAGCAATTATAGGATGATTTGTGTGTTTAAATTTACCACATGGTTGTAAATCTGTCCCGTGCTGTGATTATGATTTCTTTCCAACACTGAATATTGTGTCTATGTTTAGCACTGGAGTAGGACCCAACTTTATTAAACCTAACCAATGGTATTTTTACAGCCAACGTATACGATTTCATGTGCCATAAAGAGGTTTAAGACAAGATTTCGTAGTGAATAGTCAAGACTGTTGTTGTATAAGACTATATAATATTTTATGATGTCAAACTAGACTGATGGGCATCAGTCTAGTTTGACATTTATTTTACATGTGAACAGTATACACATTTTCATATGGGCATATGGGAAGTTAGGGGAAGTTTGAAAAATGTGTATACTGTAACAGCTCATTGAAATTATATTCACTGTTATCTCTAAAAGAATACTATTCGGTTCTGTTGTTAAAACGTACAACGTCAAGTTTGATATTTTCAGATTTGAAATATGATTTACTCTAAAGGTTTACAGCACCAAAATACTTAAAATAATAATACATATTAGGGGCTTTCAATATTTGATATTGGCAAACAACTAATTAAGATTATGAACTAGTAATTATGAAATGTGAAACTCTATGAGAGACTTTTTGTTCGATCTATTTATAAGGCAGATCAACTAAAACATAGGTCAATAATTTAACTTTCTATTGAAAAATGCCTTATGGTTTTTAAAAGCAATGCAAAGATGTAGATTAGATAGAACAATATTTTAATTTTTACTGCAGAGTTCTTACTAACTGTCTGTATTTTTCCCTGGAGGAATTTCGAGATAATTTAGTTAGCCTCGATTACATTAGCTACGATTTATTTTAATGTGTATACTTTTGCAAATATTCCTTAAGTCTCCAAACAACACATTCTAACTCTTAAAAATACTACTTATTCGTTGTAGTATACCAATCAAATGCATTTTATTATAACTAATTTTAAAGCCCCATTCTAGACAGTAGTAATATACAGCAACCCATCGTTTACACCACGCCAGACCACACACACACACACACTCCTGACATGTCAGTAGGCCGGGCTTTACTTGGCATCATTGTCACGTACTTCCCTGTTTGTCGGTCGCCTCTCCATCCGTCCACTCTTTGTCCACTTCTGGCCTCTCTGCTGGTTTAACTAGAGTGCTACTGTAAAAAAATGTTAAAATTTGTCTCTTTTTGTAAATTATATAAATTTAAAGTTTTATGATTTTTTAAGTACTTTGAAGAACATTATGCTAACGATTTTTTACCGGGCCTACAAGCAATATATGTTCAAACAATTGTTGTGTAAAGTATTTTTAAAGGGATTTTTTTTACTGGTAGATTTTTGTGAAATCCTTATCCTAAAAGAAAAATTTAGCCAGTTACCTAAACATTTTTTGTAACAAAAATTGTTACAAATTAAATTAAATGTACACAGTTTGCCCAAAAAGATCCCGGACCCTCGACATCCGCTGGCCCTTCCTTAAACTCAGAACACAAAAGTGAGATTGAACTGTAAATATTGATTAACTAATAAACTAACGATTGATTCGTTGTAGATCGTATAAATGAATTCATTAGTTGTGACAAAATAAATTATCGTTAAATTAATTCCTCTAATGTTAGTCAAATGTCTGCGTGAAAACAATAATTGAATGGGATATAATAACAATGGGATAAGACGGGATATAAGGTCATGCTTTTGTATAGCACTAAACATCACGCTTATGTTTTTTTATACTGAAAATGTTTTATTATATTTCTAGGCGTGTAACTATTGTGACAAACAAAAACAATATAACTATATCTTATCTGTGTGTTTTGTATGATATCCATCAATATCCGAATGATTTTGAATCATGGTTTTCTTTTAAACGTTTTAATGACCGTCATTTTGAATTCGTATAGCTTAAAATCGGATACTCTGTGAATCAGTGTATCCTGTTTGTCACTATTTATGTACTAGGTTATAAGTCAATCGCTTATGGGGTTTAAAAGTTATGTATACATTTGTAAAACTTCATAGGGGCAAACAAAAAACCAGGCATCATAAACCCATATTTATAAGATTTCTTTTCTTGAAAGTACACAACCCATTCCAGGGAGCTTGTATACATCTTTACCTTATATTTATAAATTACCTCGTTTTTCTAAATAAAAAATTCTAATGCCTTATGAGCCATTATGCTAAAGGCTTGTGAATAACGTTTCAGTTCTCAACTAACAAGGAAATATAGATATTGGCACATAATTAAATTAAGATCCTAAGCCAGGTGCCGTGTTAAGAACAAGATCTGGCTTATCTTTTGTGAGGGTTGGTAAATTGATGAATATCGCTAATAAGTAGAATGGATTTTATAATCAGCTAAATCTAATATTATGTATTTGTATGCAAATGTCCTAGAACACTATTATGCAAATCTAATAAACAAAGAAAGAAATTAATTAACTTAATGCAATAAACGAATTGGTGATTATTGTAAATCGTCTAGATATAAACCATAGCTAGGTGTAAGGCTGTCTTATGTAAGGAACGAAATGGGTTTTGGTCCATTTAAACCACTTAGGATGACGCATCGGCGATAAACGTACAGCATGGTCTTAGATCAAATTTATTGACGTGCTTTGCTTTCTGAATTTTCTTTTTATATTGGATTTGTGGGTATGATGTACTTATAAGTTATAAGTGAGTACTTATAAGTGAGAATCTTGATCTCACTGCTAGAGAGGACTTGTAAATGTAATATAAACTTGGACATTAAATTAAATTAAATTTGTTTATTAAACGGGACGAATCTTACTTTAAAAAGAAACTTGCATTTCTTGTAGTAAAGATTTTCAGCTGAGAAACCAAGCTTTTTCACTTGCAAATGAAAGATAGGCTTAGAGAGTGCTATTTCTTGTAGGGGACTTAATTTGTGTGTTTCCTCATCGGAGAGGGGTAAGGACAGTCTCGTGTTTTAGAGGGACAATGATGCATGATCTACTCAGATTTGTAGTGTTTGGTAATCTTTATTAATAACTTAAGTTAAGTGACGCCGGGTATTTTATACTAACGTAAAATTGGGTATTTCCTTTATGAATTGTGGAAAATTACAATAACACAAATTAATCTATAGGAAAGAATGAATAGTGTAATAGATCATTACCTATATATAACTTACTATGGACATTATAGTTTTATATTTTATATTTAATGACACAGAAATGTCTTCAAGTACACTTGAATGTAATTTACTATATATTCTAACGACCACTTTAAATACCTTGACTTGAGTATTGATTATTACTTGACTTATTGATACCAGTAGACGTCACATCTTCTTAAGGATAGCTCTAGCCAGTTGTTTACTTAACTTTATAAAAATAAAGTTACATGCTATTCAAGGTATTTGGTGAGCTACTATTGAAGTTAAATTTACCGTTACTTCTTAACCTATGAGGTTAAATTTCTAAACAGAAGACACTAAGGATTATTACGTGTTGTCCTTTCTGTTTGGTATTGAGAGGTAATGAGTGATTGCTACAGCATTATTGAAAGCCCAATTATCAATCTTAACACTGGCCACACATTTGTATTGACAACGTAATATCTAATTACCGGTAGTGCAACTATGGATAACATTACAGAATACAATCAACAACATTATGAAACTAATGGTGACTCAGTGGAAAAGATGAAGTGCTAAAATCTTTATTTCCTTTCACTCAATAGTTTTGTTTATTTCAATAATATTCCAATTTTCACAAAGTGAAGCTTACTCGTTTCAGGCTGAGATGTCGTTTCAATTCGAAGAGATTTCAATCTGTACACAATGACTCAATCCATGTTACTGGAAACATTGTTGGTTAAATTCGTAGTTTCAAAACTCTAGATGGATTACCTGTCAAAACATCATATGAGAATATTTAGTGTAAACTAACCGTGGTCTGTCTAGTGGGACATAACTCATCTTGACACAGGGGCGCGCTGCCCAGTTAAATCCCATTCACCATCAGTCATTAGGATTCTCTATGCAGTGCCAAGAGCAGTCGGACTCGCGCGGCGGTCAGTTACGCGGGAAGTTCTCATTTGCGCGGGAAGCTATCATTGCTGTGTTGCGCTCCACAGTTATTACTTCAAGTTGAAGTGCGGGTTCAGAGTGGATGTTCCATACAGTTTATGTGATATGCCATTTTTCGGATTAAAAATAGTTTTGTGTAATTATGGTGTCTTAATTATTATATAATTCTGTCCGAGAGTGCACCAGTCAGTATTGACATTGTTTACAAGGCTGGAAATTCAAGTTGTCCACTTAGTATACAACAGGTATTTAATTTTATTGATTCAAAGTCAAATGTTTTTATTGATGCAAAACTAAACATTATCAAACAGTTTCTTGCCAAAATTGCAGTTTATGATACCTAAAGGGGGATCTATGGGGTTTATGAAGAGGGGTGGGGGGTAGTGTATGTCTATAGACGCTTGATTTCAAAATTTTTATTTCGATACTAAGGTTCTCTATATTGCTAGTAAAGGATACAACTAATAAGTAGAAAAAAAATGCTCACAACACAATTCAAATCTAAAATGCAAAACTATTTTGATGAGCACTAGGAACATTTATTTTGCCTACTCATCCTCAATTACTCAAAGAATACCAATTTTTTTATGTGAACTGAACAGTCACGATTGAGATACATACGTAAAACAAAATATTTATAGTCATTTCAAACCTTATCTCTTTCCGTGGATTAACCAAATGCACCAGTGTTTATGACCACATTTCATCTCAACATGTCTTCACCATGAAATAATAGTTAATCAAATAGTTAATCAATCATGAAGTGGATCTTGTAAAACAGCTCTTTATGATTTAAATATTGGAGGGCTAAGACAGCTTTAGAGCTTTTTACAGTATACGCTTCTTAATTTTTATAAGAGTCGGCATTGTTCATGTCGGAGTTCTGAATCAACGGGTTTTCACAATTAGGTGTTGGATGACGTTAAAAACTGTTGTTATTATTGTAAGTTAGAAGAAATATATAGTTTTGAAGACGTTTACAATGTTAGTAAGTATTTACCGTAATTTAGCCGTAATAAACGTTTTCTGTAACGGCTACCTTATTTTGTTCACATACATGTGAAAAAGCATACGAACTGGTAACTGATCAGTATTTTTAATCATATTTAGTTAATGTTAATCCTTTTTATTACAATATAAGCGCTTACTGAAGTAGTCAAATTTATCAATTATGTCATATCATAAGTATTTACAGTAAAATAAGCAAACATTAAAGAAAGACTCGTAACGCATAGGATTAATTTAATATAAGTACTATACCTCCGTTATTCAATTTATATTTTATATTTTAGTTTTATTCTTCTATTGATGTGAGATCAAAATGGATTTAATCCCGTTATACCAATTATATTTTAATCGTTTTCATTGAAAAATGTTTTTATGACATCATTAAACAATATTTAATTGGTAAATAATATTATAGAATAGGCTAACTAATAAGGTTTCAGTATTTATCGGCAATCATTTGGTATACAATGCATTTCAAACATAGACCAACAGTTATCGTTAATACTTTTATCTAACTAATTCAGTAACTGTTATTAACTTACTGCAGAGCATCACATTAAGAAATAAATAAAAACACATTTAGCTAGTGTGTCATCTTCATAAGTGTTTCAAGATGTGCGTGAGGGGGGCAGAATGAGACGAGTCACTTGTTATTTCTGTCACAACTTCCTTTTTGACAGCGCGAAGCTTGGGTGGTCATCCTCGCCAACAAGTAGCTCTGACAGCTGTAAGTAATCACACAAGAGTTCGTGAAACATGGCACAATTACACTCTTGTGTGGGCACTTGACAATGCAGAGTCTATAATTTATACTATTGTTGTATTGGGAGCCGAGATTGTCTAGTGGTAGAGAGCGAGGCTTCAGTTCCAGAGAGAATGGGTTCAAATCCCGTCAATTATCAATGGGCTTAGTGATGTGACAATATCGCAATCTTCTAGGTCTAGACTGGAATAATGTGTATGGTGGCCAATAGTTTGTTCAATATGTAATGGACGGACAAAAAAATTCTTTAAAAAATATTATAATGATAAACAGTATTAGAAAAACGGACTCTTAATTTAGCTTTTTCTAACCAAAACATCCATATACTATTTATAAAGGTTGATGAGTTGTTTATACATAGTGATATATGAAATATTGTGACGAAGTGAAATATTTTAAACAATAAACATACAGTTTGAATCCTTTATAAGGTTTCTGTTTTTGAATAAATCATGGGGAACTGGTGTGGACTTAAAGGTTAGGTAGGGCCTAAATCGAGACATAAATGGAATAAAATCCAGCAGTAGTTTCATAACTGTTTCTAATTGAATTATTTTTCTATTCTTAGTGATTTTTAGCTGTTTCATCTATTGAAGTTAATTTTGCTGAAATAATGCAAAACTTTATGGAAGAAGTAAGCAAGGTGTGAACAAAAATAGATTTTTCACTAAAAATGTTGTAAGATTAGGTGGACTGTCTTTGGCATTGGCAACTTATTCGTCTGTAGTGTAATAGCAAGTGAATAGTAATAGTAAGTCATGTGGTCAAACTTGTTAAATTATGAGGTTAAATGAAAGAAAACAAGTTAAATTCTTAAACAACTACACTGAAAGCTATAATTTCTACTTTACTACATTATTCTTTTATTAACCCTCTTAACCGTAAGGGTATTTCTACACAAGTACAAAAAAGTCATCAGTACTTCTTAGCCCAGCAACGATGGAATTTAGCCGTTTCTCTCTGTAGTAGAAGAGATTTTAAGGAATATACGTAGCCGATTCCACAAATAAGTTATGAACATAAACCCTATTGCATTTTTATGAAACTACCGCGTCAGACATTTCTCGTAGGCAAACTTATGTATAATTAACTAGAATTGAATGCAAGCGTACATATCTGACGACCCTCGAGCTTATTTATTACACTACATTCAATCTATACTTCTATAACATAGGATATTATATTTATTAACAAAGTCTATACAAACTTAAAAACATTATAATTGAAAACCTTAAAACTGCTAACAATTCAATTTTCAACCAGATAATTGGTTTTTAATTGTGAAACCATGCGAGTAATTAGACAGTGCATTCCGTCGGAAACCATGATTTGTGAAATTAATGAAACGCTCCTATTATCTGTCAATCAGACAGTCATTTTTGATATTTTAAGCCCATCATTGATATGATATCAAAACTATATTATGTGTTTTATGAGTTAGGGGTTTTAACTAATAATAAAAAAATTGCACTACTTTTATTTTAATCATGCTATTGATCGAGATGATGTTGCAGATGAGCGTATTTCGCCCAAGATAAATAATTAAAGATGAGGGTTGAATAGAGTGGGATGTCTTGAATGAGGAGATCTACACTGTTGAGAGAGGAGTACACTAGATTGAACTATGTTTTATAGTTAGTGATTATTTTGTTGTCTTCACTCTCCTTTATTATTGTTGGTGATACGTGATACCCAGGAAACGTCATATAAAACACACATACACACATCTCAGGCAATCGTCCTGTGAATCAATTCTGACGTTTCGTGGAACCCAAAAATCGTCCAGCTTCTTCTGGGTATAAACACTTGGTTTTTGTCCCGCGAGGGTCGATTGCCTAACCCTGACTGTTAGGATATCACCAGACAGTAATAAAGGAATCTCAAAATGATTTTGACAAATGCACATCTCGCCAAATATCATATCATTTTTAAATGTCTTAAAATTGCAATATTTCATTAAGAACAGTGTAGTAAAGACAGACAGCTTCGGATGTTCTTAAAAATAAAAGTATAAAATATAAAAAATATCAGTATAGGCCAGTATAGGCTGATGACTTACTTTTTAAGGCACAGTCACAGGAAATGTTCAATGATAATATATCTTACATGTAGTGTACCACCACTTTGAGACTAATTTAATGCAAGTTTAATTTAATTTAATTTATTGCAGATCGTTTAATATGCACTGGATGGTAATAAAAATTAAAAATACAAATCCTTAGCCAAACGTATTCAAATTATTTAAATAATGTGGTGAATTGTGACAATGTTTGAATGCGGAGATTGTTACATGTTTAGCTATCCGCCAAATATATGTCTCCAATGCATAATTGATGATAAAACATTGTGCAACAAAACAAAGGTTGCGTTTTTTTACTGTTAGTTAAATGTGGACTTTGACGTTATTCTTTTGTCAGAAAACTCGCTTAGTCAAACAGGTTTACTAATGACATGGTTAGCGAATGTTTTATGTGGTTTAAGTTTTTCCGAGCTTTTTATGTGTAATATTATATGCATTATAATTCCAATATTATAATAACTTTACAATATTCCTACAAACAGATATTATTTTAAGATATTACTAAGGATTGAGCTGATTTAAATTTTGCTATATTGAGTTTTTATTAAAAATTCATCAAAATATTGGGTGTACAATATTGCATGTTTTAGAATGGTTACTATGCTTTAGATACTTTAAATTTTATATGTAAGCATTCAAACAGATTTTTTTGGTATATTTATCATTTACATAACAATAGTTTGAATTGTGTCATCAAATAGAGCTTACGTGAATAAATAGTGTACATTCAATTAAATACTAATCCGTATTTTACAGTAAAATAAGCTTTTGAATACACATGCTACAAAACTGATACGGGCGAGGGCTAATAACGTTACAAAAGCTATTCTAATTGAAGATAAATAGTAAATGTTTAACTAGTTCTATGTACAAAACTCCCCTATTTGTAAATTGTACCGCCATTTACTCAATGTAAAATGAATCATCAGATTTAATTGTACACACGTATATGATAAAATATCATGAAGTCTAAGACATTAATTTTTATACTAACTAACCAGTGTGAAATTCTTTGTATTTGCACTTTAAAAGTAGAATTTAGTTCACTTGAATTATTTTGCAAACTAGATGATTTCTCTACATTTCAATTTGACAAAACTAAAGCTAAACAAAACAAAATGTTGGTCAACCCGTATAGGAGCAATTATGTACTATAGCAATGCAACTTGTTTAAATATTAGAATACTTTTTCACAAAAGAAAAACCAGTGAAAGTATCATTGCAGTAGTAATGGATATTTGTTTGAATTCTTTTTATATTGTTTTGTGGACAAAGAAGTAGGCAAAGTACAATGCACAAAAAGCTGCTGTTCTGCAAACAAATTATCCATTGAAAAAAATTCTATTTTGGGTGACTACTTAAAACCAATGTCTATTTTGTTTTTGTTTTTTACA